CTTTGTTGCTAACATTATCTACAGTACAGCATTGTCTACAGGTACTGCAGGGCAGAGTCAAGTGCTTCATTTATCTCAGTCCCAGCACTTATACATGTACCTCTACTTATGATCTATTTGTTACGAAACTTAGCACCCTTCTTTTTCTTTTCTTTTCTTGGAAACGGAAAAATTGGGATTCCACTTAAAATGAAAGCTATTTCTCCTTGAGTAATTATGAATATTTTACAGAGAGATTTCTTAGAAGAGGTAGATGACTATCATCCACTTTTATTTAAAAAAAAAATACCTGTAATTATAGGGAACCTCTATATTGAAACAAAAAATATTAACCAGCAAGTTTATAAAATTGCTTAGGTAGGTTTAAAAGTAACATTGATTTCCAATAATCAATAACAAAGAGAGAAAACTAAATGAACATTTAATCTTTTTTAAAAATCTGGAATCTAGACAAAAGAAATGTTAACAATTAAATCATGACTAATCTGTACGAATATTAGGAACACCCTAGCATGAGAAACGATTCAGCTAATTTGAAAGCTGAACATGATGAAGATAGGGGTTCCTTTATAAATACTACAATATCATGAAAGTGGATATCAAATCAATAACTTGTTTGTCATTCATGGCAATATACCACTATCCTGAAATTGAGTGCTATATAAGTTGATAGTGAACCTGATTTGATCTCTATCAGACTGCAAACTCTGGGCCAGAATTGAAGTCTTTGCCATCATCTACATGTATTGCAATGTTGTTAATATAATTGATTTTTCTTAATCCTCATTTCAGAAAGACAGAAATTGAATGGAAAATATAAATGATGAAATGAATAAATCCATTTGGTTCCCTGTCCATTATAATCAGTCAAGATTTCTCCTCTTTATTTTATTTATACTCACTCTGTTCAGTAAGAATCATTTCTAAAGTACAAGTACACTACAAATCAAATAGGGACTGCACGGTCACGAGACACTGAGGACAGTCATCTTTTTTTTACATTGTGCACCAAGTAAATTAAACCTTTTTTTTTCCAAAAATGATCTTGACTGCCTTATGGCTTATGAATATGAAAGTGTTGATTTATCGCATCTCCCTGACATTTCTGAGTGCCTTTGCATTGCGTCGTTTATTTCTTTTCTTAAAAATTTTCTATTGAATCTATAAATTTGTATGAATAAAGATTAAGAAAAAATGACTTGAATTCAAAGGTCTACTGAACATAAATCCTTTCTTTCTCTTTTGAGCTTTAACAATTTAAGCATTTTATCTACTCAAAAAGTGCATACCACAATGTTGGCACTCAGAATCTTAATTACATAAGCAGGATATTATATATTCTCTTATAGCCCTTACATTCAAGTTGACAAGGATACCTAGTTCTTGTTAATTCATACTCAACAATTCTTCACCATTGTGCAAGAACAGGGTGCAAGAAAAAGCACTCGCCCACTCATCCTGGACAAGTGAAAATCGACCAAAGACAAGTGGATGTCAAAATCTGCCTGTCCCTGGTGATGAGTAAAATTTTTGGTGTGATAATTATCCTATTATATTATATCCAGTGGTAATGTATTGACAAGAAACTTAGATTCTATATAAATATATGTCATAAGTACATGCAATTCAGATGCGGTTCGAAAAGATTAAGAAATCTAAAACAAACTTTAATCTTTTTTATTTTTTTTAAAGCTAGCTTTATAAGGGATGATTAAAAGCATCAAGGGGACAAGTGGGTATGATTTCATACTGGTCCCCTGGGACGAGTGGTTACTGAATTTTTTTCTCACCCTGCAAGAACAATATATCCAATGTTTTCATCACATATCAAGCTTACCTATTTTGCCGTCTGTGTTTTGATGGCCTGCTACTTGATTATCCAAAGGCTTGGTCCCCGGGGGTAAGGTGGGTGTCCGTTTTAGGGAAGACATCACTTTCTTCAAGACTGAAAAAAAATTCTCAATTTTAATGAACAGGGATTACAAAAACAAAAACAATAAAAAAAAATTTGAACAACTAAGCTTATCTAGCAAATACATATACTACTTACTTAAAAGCTGTTTAAATTGGACTGTTTTAATAACGCAGTAACGGTTACTTATTTGGTAAAATATATTAACAACTATTTGTTACCAAATATGTTTCCTCGTACACAATTGATCAAATCATTATAAAAAGAGTACTGAATTGAAGTTTTGGATAGCTGATCCCCTTTTAAATTTCTAATAGAATTATCCTACCTGAAATATTTACAAGTGATTTACAATAATTGAATTTAAATACATGTATCTACATTTTGTAAGAGTAATACTCCAAGAAGTAGCAAACTCTCTCACAAATTGTCATAAATCTTATTTCACACTTAAAATGATCCTATAGGTTTGAGGGATACTAAAATAAAATCCTAAGATGGCATTCATGGTTTGTAATTTTTTAAGACCAAAGTCAAAATATGATGTACTTTCATAAATACATTTACTGTGAAAGTATTTTTTTCAAGGGGTCATAATTCTGCGGAATCACAATTACTATTCAATCCACGACTACAAAATTATGTGGATTTTGTGGATCGTCACTAGAACCTTAACATTAGGTACGTGGTGACAAACTTCCACGGAAAAAATGTACAAAGCAGAAATTAATCCCACGTGGAATAAAGTACATCTACAGTATTTAATTTTGTACATCTCATTACTATTATGGCCACTGTCACCTTATTAAAGAATACAAGATCATGAATAATGTCTCAGGGGCGTCAGCAAGTATTTGACATTGGGGAGGCGAACTGGGTCAAAAGGGGGGGGGAGTTCTAACTAACGTTTTGTGACTTGAATTATTTAAAATTTCAGCCAAAATCTTGCTTGATATTTTTCCCATGAAGTCAAAAGTCTGAAGGTTTTTTTTTTAAATAAAAAAAAACAATTAAACATAGCAAAAAAATTATAAATAAATAAAAACAAATAAACAAAAATAACTCAGTTGATTTTTTTATATGTCATACATATTTCTGCATTTCAAAAATGGAGGGATTAAGAGGTATTAATTGGCCAGTTCATTTTAAATTTCAATTGCATTCTTTTGGCAAGAAACAATAAATATTGAACAGTAATAGAAAATTATATGCATTTTGATCTTTATCTCATCATAAACCCTTCTAAATTCTTTTTGTGTTTAGAGTGACCCGGGCGCTTATTAGTTTCGAAGAAATATTGCCATTTCAAAGAAACAAACTCCTATTCAAAAATATTTCGGTTTTGTTTCATTTATATATAGTAACTTAAAACAAAAGTCCATAGGTCTGAAATTGACAATATTTCGTTATTAAATAACTATATTTGGCATTCTAAGTATGAGACTCTTTTGAACTGCTTATGACAAGAAATGTAAATAAACACACATAAAACATTGATCAGAAGTTGCTTTGAATAGTAAAATTTATCCATTTTTTAAAGTATTTTACTTTTAATTTATATGCCCTTACTCTGTAATATTTTTGATAATTGTTTAACAGCAGCTGCTTACAACTTCGATTCATCAAGGATCATCCAATTGATTAGACAATGAACAGGCCTGTTATACCCGGGGGAAGGGAGCAGGAGGGGGGGTTTAGAGAACCCCGACCCCAAAGAAAATAGAATTTCTAAAAACGTTGCTTGCTGTGGGCCTGATTAAGAATTTGTAGCAAACCCGCACGTAGAGCGATGGATAACCTGCTTGTTGTTTACACACGCCAGGTAAAGATATAATTATACAATATACACATACATCCCAATAAGAGTCTGTGTAAACAATAGTTTCACACTTTGCCGCTCCTTTAACCATGTTGACCACAGACTGCTGTTATTCTCGCCCCTCCATTGACCACAGATATTGCCATTACAAATTTTGTAATTCTGTATTTCTCATTTAATTCATTTTTAAAATTTTTTTTGCAAAATAATTGGGGCGGCGACCCTGCCGCCCCTTTGCCGACCCCCTTGTATCTGCAATGTTTTCAAGTCAAAATTACTATTTATATATGTAGTTAAGAGAGCTTGGATTGGTCAAATTTCACAGAAAATTATCATCAATACTGTGTGGAGTACCTGTATTGCAAAAAAAAAAAAAATCAAACATGGCTGTATTTCACTGACTTCAAGTAACAAAAATAGAGACAATGCATTGTCAGTGTTTTCTAGATATACTTGTATATATTTTCAGGAAGCTATGCAAGATTTTTTCGAGGAAGCAGTTATAATTCACACATAAATAAATTACTTGGAAGTAAGGCAAGAGCAATCAAGCTCATTAAACCTGAGTGTTCCTCTGATTTGTCCCTCTACCTCCTACTAATAATGGGTTTATAATACACACATATTTTCTCTAAATGCATTGTTCAACATAAAAAATATATATACAGTGTACAAAATACAGAGATTTTAAAAACCCCAAACTTGTAGGTGAATGTGCTTATAGATTTTCAGGTCAGTAAGTGACACTTTTATGAAAAAAGAAAGCAATTTACTTCCTGATTTCATTTGTGAAATTCTAAGATTTCTTCTATTATTGTTATGATGCCATTATTACTTATAAAAAGAAAAATGACTTGTATGACCCAAAAAGCTGTGTATTCTGTAAAGTTAATGACTTATGAGACACTGTATCCAATTAAATACATTGTCCTATAGGGATTAATTACCATCATAGCATGCAACTAAAAGTTTCTTAGCAAATAATTCTTATTGATCAGTACTGATTAATTTTGACTTTGCCTCCTGAATTTCTTATACCATATTGAATTTACTTCTCCAAAACTTTCTATAGAGGAATGAATTAAATGACAGCCATATATACACTATTTTTTTTTATGTCTGGCATAATCACTTTCTAAACAGGATGTGAAAGGTGTTTTCTATAAAAGAGTTTAACAGTAGAATATTAATTTTAATTTGAAGATTAATTCACTTGTATGCTTTAAATCATGCATGCATCAAAATGCTTTCGTGGAATATCGTATATTTTTTAACAGGCAAAGAAAATTAGTATTCTGCAATTGTACATTGTTGAAACAAATAACAAATAATTTTCTTGGGCTGAAGAGTGTCAAAGATATTATTAATATTTAGAAATAACACTTTTATTTACAGGTTTAATAAATGTCATTCCCAAAAGACAAACTCAATTTTTTTTGTGGAAAGAAAAACATTCACAGGATCATCATGGTTGTAACTGTTAAACATTTAAATAAAAATGAGTAACAAAAATATACTGAAGACAGGTACCTTTAAAATTATAAATACATGTAATTGTTCTTATCTGAGTGATTAATAATGAAACCTAATAAAACATCTAGCATTAACAGGAATACCTTATTTCTATAATATATATATGATAGAGTGTTTAATTCATTACAAGGTTAAAAGTAATTCATCATAAGCCAAATATTTATATACTTAATAGTAAACATTACATCAAAACTTATTCAATGTAATTAAAATCAAATCTTTGATTCGCTCCAAAATTCTGATAGTTGCTACACAAAGGCTATCAGAATTTCAGAGCAAATCAAAGATATGATTTTACTATAGATCACTTAATTTTGCGACACCTAATTTTCGCGAGAAAGTCATTGACACTTTATCCCTGAGAAAAAATTTTCACGAATTGTTGACATTGCTCTATATAATCCTAAGGAATTCTATTATACACGAGAATGAATTTTCGTGAGCAAACTGTCTTGCGTAATTACGCGAAAATAAAGTTCTCGCGAATAAAAAGTGATTTACAGTAATCAGAAGCTTATTGTTTATGGTTTCACTGTATCCTGCTGATTACAAATACATGTATCCCATAATCTTTTTATTTGAAATTCTTCATTTATTTACACATACAAGTAGTTTTTAAAAATACTGCAGACAGCTGCTGACCTGATTTAGTTTCTACATTAATCATAAAAATTGGTATTCATAAAACCTTCGTAATATAATATATCTACCTGGTAAATGTCAACAAATATTTGATAATTGCCCATAAGTTAGTCATAAGTAGATGGTATGTTATATGATACTTAATTGTGTAGTCTGGATTTTATTAATATATTATCACTTCCAAAATGCAAAATCATTTTACCCAAACGAAAAAAAACTTTCCCTAGAACTCTTTAACATCCAAATTATTTATATGTATGTATGAATGTATTAAATCCAGGTAACTCAGAAAGCATGTAAATTTGTTCAACTATTGTGTTGTTAAAACTTAAAAAATTTAAAGAATCTGCAAACACTGAACAAAGACAAACTAAATTCAAAAGAAATCATAACATGCTACACCCATCCTTAATCCTAAGTTGATTATGGGATATCTAGGTAAGCTACCTGTAACAAAGTGACTTAAAGTTGGACCATTTAATGTAGTCATCGTAAAAATAATGTATCTATATACAAAGCTAGTGTCTAGAAGCAAAAGTGTAGCATTAACATGCATGCTGGTGCTGTGGTCCCATAGGACAATGAACAAAAACCCGCAAATCCAACTGTTCCTAGAGATAACCTTGTAAACTTTTTGAATGCCAGAACTAAAACTATCTTATAAAATTTTTCCTAATAGTCCAATTGTCCATACCCCCACCCCCTACCTCAACCCTCCCTTCCAAATCCCCTTCACTCCCAAACACCTAAATATGCATACCTCTGGGAAACTTCAGTCCAAAGCTCTTTCAATATCTGGTGCATTCCTTCATAATACAAGCAAGAAGCCAGAAAGCAATCTTTTCCAACTAAAAGCAAGGTTTTACAATCAAAACGTTTTATTCTATAAGATGATGCAGAATTCCAAGATCTCCATTCTCATCACTCATCCAACCATGAGTTTATATTCATCATGTTACCACTGACTAGATTCTGAGCTTTGCTAATGGAAGTTGACACCTTTACTAAATGTTAGTAAATTAAGGACAATATATTAATTAATTCTCCTATTTGATATCCCAATACTCTCCTCTTGTACACTCCAATCAGTGGTACATCGATAGCTAGTCTAAGAGATGAACCCGCCCCCCCCTTAAAAAAAAAAGAAAAGAAGAAGATGGCATTTGTAATAATTCAAATTGTAAACAAAAGATAAACAATTTATATCTTTGACCAGTTTTTATTTATTTACAGGCTTAACGCACTTGCTTAGTAGTATCAAAAAGAGGAAAACATATTTTATACTTATACAGAAATATATATCATGCGCTGGTTAATGTTGTTTATCTCTTTGAAGTTACAAATGTGCCTCACAGTGCACATGAAAGTAACATAATTTGTTTTCTTTTTATCTTATATGACACACTTTGCTAAAGGGAAGATTTGATTTATCTAGATATAAGTGAAATGCAGCTCATTAAAAGCATATCTTTACTTTTCATATTTTAAAAGGGTGCTAAAATTGTTATGCCTACTTTATGTTTATAATATTTGGTTTATTATTGTTCAGATGTACCTGTGCAGATTTTTGCACATGCATTGTATATTTTGAACTATTCAAAAAAGGCAGATTAGAGACTGATAGATGACGATCTGCTTTACTTATTGCAAAACACCCGCTTACTTATATGTTCGACATTTTTAATCTATACCTATTTAAATTTGATTGTTGCTTGCACAAGAACAATACAGTTGTGAACTGATTTTAAGATATGACATGACATCAAATGACAATCTTTCAGATAATATTATTTTTTAAGACAATATACAGGACGTGGTGCCATCCATGTTAACACAGTACATGGTTAACCATTGTTGACAAATAGAATTTTACCCCTTGCAAGTTAACCGAGTACTAGAGAAACTACCTATTCAGGCTATTGTATTTAAAAAAAAATAGTAAACTACTTACCAATTTTTTTTAGCCCGGCTTTAGCAAGAGCAGAGCCCGTTTTGACCCTTGGATGCTGATGCCCACTATCTGAAAATGTGATGTAGACATTTTTGATATACTGAAGAATCATTCTAAATAATAAAAAATCCCGTGTTATTTCAACGCCATCTTATCGATTCATCCGTGTCATGCGAAGTAAGAGGCCTTTAAACTTCGATGTGTACATGTTGCCAGGTGCTAATAAAAATAGAATCTGTTCTGACTAGCAAACCTCACGTGTGATTTAGCGCGATTTGCATTTCCTTGAAAGCAAAGACGAATCACACCTACACGTACTCTCTTATTAAAATTACCTGGATGCCTTGAGTAATTTGTTAAAGGACTCCATTGTTTCAGTATATTGTGATTGATTTGGATGTATATGCGGAAGCGACTTACGAAATCATGTAGAAAGGGACCTAACTCTAGCACTTTTCTCATAACATTCATTGTAATAAATTGACATACTAACCTTTGAGTTCGAAATTTAATGCCTGTTTTTATTAATCAGGGTCATGACTTATTTTCAGCTCATTATTAGGAATTACAAAATGCTTAGAAGTACAACATTTTCATGACAACGTTCAGTAATGTACCTGGCATACTGAACACTATGGACCACTTCCGTTTGGTACGGAAGCTTGTGCGGGCAGCAAGAGTGCCAAAATCTGAAAATGACTTTTTTCATGTATTTGATTGTGTTTAACTATAAATGATTTTCTTTTTTTTTTTTAATTGTAGAGCACATGCATCGTGCAATTTTGCAATTTGATAATTCAATATTTTTATACTGAACTATTTTTGACAATGCCCATCCTATGAATTTTTAATTCATTAATTCATTTAAGGCCTATTAATTAAGTTTTCTGTATATTGTGCATCCTTTTCTACCATGAAATATTATCTCCCTGATTGCATTTTCATAATTTATTATACGTATTCCTTTTTTTTCCTTTCCTACGCATGATTATGATTGATTGACATATAATGTATATTTTATTTATTTCAAATTTATATAGGTCTATGCTTATATAAGTAAGTAAGTAAATTATTTATTATAGTGACATGCGCATTATACAGTAATACAGTGTATGTTACAACAATATACTTAGTTTCTTACACCCTTATAATAATCTCTGTAAAAGAGGACATAAAAGGGAAAACTAATAATTTTGCAATTAATCACAACATGATATTTCAGTACATCAATTTTTTGGCGTCATGTGTTTCCCATCCTATAAATTATTTAGAAATGAGGTCAGCTTGGAGATTGACGTATCTTACGTACAATCCGACATTGAACTTTATTTTGCAGGCCTGTAGAAACCAGGGAGGGAGGCATGCACCCGAAAAATATTGCCAACATATACTATACAATAAAAGTTATGCCCCATCAATAATAAAGTCCGATTTCCCTTTCTTTCTTTCTTTTTTTATTTTTTTTTTATTTATTTTATTTTATTTTTTTTTTTTTTGCTATTAATTCTAATTTCATTTCGTTTGTGCCCCCCTCCCGAACTGAAATTGCCTGCTACAGGATCAGTTTTGAGTTGGAGCCATTTGCTAGGAGGAAAGGTATTTTTGGAAAAAGTCCTATATTTATTTGTTTTTTAATACGCTACATGTCGAGCGGTACATGTATCAAGTTCTTCGATCGTTATTTCTGCACTTTAACGAAAGCTTTAAATTAAAATTATCATAACTTTTACCTTTCCAGTATGACTTTGATTCATTTTTTAATACATTATTATTGCTAAAACAGCTTTCATGTAATTTTTGTTTTTATTTCTTTGTTTGCTTTTGTTTTTTTGTTTTTTGTTTTGTAGATTTTTTTTTTTTTGGTTGTTGTTTTTAAATTTGATGTGCACTGGAGGCTATCGATCTTGACTTGAGAGGCATCACGATCAAATTCATATTTCATTTTTTCCCGTACTTATATTCCCCCACATATATATATATATATATATATGCTCCCGCTTTTGTAGAAAAGAAGCTATTACAAGAAGTACAGAGGACATATTAACTCTTAAAATCATAACCTATACATGTGTATATATATAAAAGAAATTCCCGCTCATACACAGCATACATGTAGCATAAATTTATATTTTGATGTGATCCCTATATCTTCTTTTTCTTAATTATTATTTGTTTAATGCAGTAATGACGATGGATCACAATAAAAGCCTTACCTTTTTGTGTCAGAAGGAGATTTATAATGCACACAGAGGTTCCCAGGAGTAAAAGCGAGACTATCAGAAGTGCACAAGTGGTCCGAAAAAAGGACTGCTTATTGCGACAAGACATCACTCCAAGTCTGTCAATAGTGCAGCCATTTGACTTATTATATCCCTGCAAATTCATTCATATATTCATGGCATGCATCACTTGGAAGGGGTGTTTGATTATGAAAACAAACATCAGGATGGTGTAGAAGGACTTCTAAAGGCCGAATGCATTTTGATAAGACTTTACAAGGTTTCTGTCACGAAATTTAATATTAACAAGGATGGCGTCGTCTTGAAAAGTAATTGACATAAACAGAGACGACACGGACCCTGGTAGATATTAAACCCGCAAAAAATCACGCAGATACTCTTTATAAAAAAATTTGAAAGGGCACATTAATTAATTTGAAGGTCTATCAGTTTGTCATATTGCAACTTCTTAATATACCAGTCAGTTGTAATTATGCAAACCTGCAATTCAAAATCTGCAATAGGCCCTATGACAAGGTCACTAGCTTCTAGAAATTGGAAAGAACATTATGCTAATTCATGAAGCGTAATATTTATATATGTGCCCAATATTCTGATCTATATTTTTGCTTGTATTACTACTTTTTCGCTAGCCAAGGGTTTCAGATCCGCTACTCTTCTCGATCACAAGCTATAGGGGTTTGTGAGAAGAGCAGCGGATCAGAAACCCTTGTCTAGCGAAGATGATCATGGTATTACTATGATTTGAGAATTAGATCAGATATACTAGTATATTTTCTTATTGATTTATATTTGATATAAAACAATACTTTCTTTTAATAGTTTTACTAGTGCAGTAACTGTTTTTCATTTTAGATCAGAAATGTGCTGTAAATCTAAACATCATCTGTAGAAATACACATCTTAAAGAAATATGTTAAACAAATTATCAATATTTATTAAGCATTTGCATACTTTTTACCATTTTCGAAATAAATTTTGAAAAGGATTCCCATATATATTATTTTGAGCATGTTATAGAAAAAATGTAAAAAAGCAAGGATCGATATATACTGCATCTGGTGATTTTTTTTTTAATTTGGATGAATAATAATCCATCTTAATTAAGAAATGTTTGTTATGTAAGTGAACTAGCATACAGCTGCAATTTGCAAGTCATCACAGCTTGCACCGAAGGTTGCTGTGCACTTCGAACGAGCTTCTAATATATGAGAATGGCATATCAGTAGGTCAGGTAAAGAAAGAACTTTCTAGAAATCGAAACCAAAGCCAGACATTTTTTTTTATGTAGCTTGCAGTTTTTGTAGAAAAGTCAATGTTTTTAAAAAATGGTCAGGTCCAATCCCCCGTCCGGTCTTTTCATGGACGAACAGGGATTAGTCATCAAAAGATAAAGGGGGAAATCTTCTTTTATACATAGTATGTCAAACATTGCAATATTAGATCTTTTCCATTTGAATTGTATCATTTTCCATTTGTATTCTATAATTTTTCATTTGTATTATAAAATTTTTATTTGTATCCTATAATTTCCCATTTGTATTCTATAATTTTCCATTTGTATTCTATAATTTTTCATTTGTATTTTGAACTTTTTATTTGTATTCTTTAATTTTCCATTTGTATTCTATAATACTCTGTATTGTATAATGTTTTATTTCTGTTGGATAATTTTCCATTTATATTCTATCATTTTCCATTTGCATTGTATAATTTTCCATTTGTATTGTATCATGTTTATGTGTATTCTATAATTTTTCATTTGTATTGTATAATTTTTCATTTGTATTGTATAATTTTTATTTGTATTCTATAATTTTCCATTTGTATTGTATACTTTCCATTTGTATTGTAAAATTATACAATACAAATGAAAAATTATATGTATGTTATACCGTATGTATCCAAGATGCTTTAAAGTCATAGCGACATAAAGCCACAGCGAATCCCTCAGTACAGCGGCTACAGTATAGAATTCTCCATAGGATTACTGCTGTAAAATAATACCCTAAAAAGATCAAAACAGTGTTGTTATTTTTCTAATGAAAAAAAAAAACCTCATTGGAGAGATTTAAATTTACATATGTACAGAAAAAAACATTATAGAATTAGTTTTAGAATATTATTTGGGGTGAAATACAATGTACCATTGAATGCGGGCAATAAAGTAGAAAATTTTATTATATAATATAATATCTTATATCACAGATATGATAATTGTGTATGAATTATACTAAGAATTTTAATTACTTTATTGATTCTACCCTTGACAGAGTAAATATCAACAAATATAATAAATAGAACCTTTGACCATTTTGAAATTTGGAGTCTATCAAACGTACAGATCTATAGAGAAATCTAAAAGTTGTATATGAATGAATAACAAAATATAATTTATAGTATCATATATTTTTATTAGAACACAGCATAAGTTAAAATTAACAAATAACAAATACATGTATAAAAATATAAGAATTGCATTTATCATTTATCCTAACATAGGAAACATTTATCAACACATATTCCTAGCATTATAATGCTGAAATGTATAGAGTCTTTCATTGAAAGTACAACTATAAATTCATAATACTTATGAGGTTTTTATCAGTAAGTTTTTTAAGTTCACTAATTTAGTCCATCTCTTCTACATTAGGTCCTTGGTGTGAGCCTGCGTGACCCGAGTTTCCAGTGGAGCCGTTCTGATGGAGTTTAGCCATTACAGGGGAACAAACTTTCTGGACATCCTTCAATTTGAACTCGTACTCGTCAACCTCTCCCAGGCAGTTATTCTCGAGCCAGGTCAGAGTTTCTCTACATACCCTGGAGACGGCCTCCTTGTCTTCTGACTGGAGCTGATCTCCGCTGTCATCTACGGCCTGTTTGACAGAGAACACATACGATTCCAGCTGATTCCGGGCTGCTATCCTTTGTCGTTGTTTCTCGTCTTCTTCTTTGTATTTTTCGGCCTCATTCACCATTCTATCTATGTCAGCCTTACTCAGGCGACCTTTGTCGTTGGTTATTGTGATTTTGTTGGACCTGCCTGTGCTTTTGTCCTTCGCTGAAACATTTAAGATTCCATTTGCGTCAATGTCAAACTCGACTTCTATTTGGGGGACACCACGAGGTGCTGGAGGGATTCCGTTCAGTTCAAAAGTACCCAATTTGTTATTGTCTTTGGTCATCGCTCTTTCGCCCTCAAATACCTGAATGGACACTCCTGGTTGGTTATCAGCGTAAGTGGTGAACGTTTGAGAGGCGTTGGTTGGGATTTTGGTGTTCCGTTCAACAATTTTGGTCATGACTCCGCCGGCAGTCTCAATGCCTAGAGACAGTGGAGCAACATCTACAAGGAGAACGTCTTTGATTACATCACTTTTGTCTCCCTTCAAAATGGCAGCCTGGACAGCAGCACCATAAGCCACTGCTTCATCCGGATTGATGGATTTGTTTAACTCCTTACCACCCATAAAATCTTGAAGCATTTTTTGGATTTTCGGAATTCTTGTCGATCCTCCTACCAGAACCACTTCATGGATTTTGGATTTGTCTATTTTGGCATCCCTAAGAGCTTTTTCTACTGGTTCCAGGGTAGCACGGAACAAATCTGAACATAAGTCCTCAAACCTTGCTCGTGTGATTTTGCTGTAAAAATCAATTCCCTCAAAGAGGGAGTCGATCTCAATGCTAGCCTCGGAGCTGCTGGATAATGTTCTTTTGGCACGCTCGGAAGCCGTCCTGAGTCTCCTCAGTGAACGGCTATTGTTGGAAATGTCTTTACCGTATTTGCGTTTAAATTCTTGCACAAAGTGATTCACCATTCTATTGTCGAAATCTTCACCTCCAAGATGAGTGTCACCAGCAGTTGAGCGAACCTCGAAAATAGAACCCTCGTCTATAGTGAGGATGGACACATCAAATGTTCCTCCACCCAAATCAAAGATGAGCACATTTTTCTCACCTGAAAGGTTTTTGTCGAGTCCATAGGCTAGAGCAGCAGCTGTAGGTTCGTTCACAATCCTGAGAACATTGAGTCCGGCTATGATACCGGCATCCTTGGTGGCTTCTCTTTGAGCATTATTAAAATATGCCGGGACTGTAATTACGGCTTCCTTAACCTGCTGCCCAAGGTACGCCTCTGCCGTCTCCTTCATTTTGGTCAGCACCATGGAACTAATTTCCTCAGGTGTAAATCGCTTTTTCTCATTCTTGTATTCTACCTCAAGCTTTGGTTTTCCTCCATCATTGGCGACTTTAAATGGCCAGTGTTTCATGTCGGCTTGCACACTGTCATCATTAAATTTGCGTCCAATCAGCCTTTTAGCGTCAAAGATTGTATTAGCAGCGTTCATGGCTACCTGGTTTTTAGCGGGATCTCCAATGAGACGTTCGGTATCCGTGAATGCCACATAACTGGGCGTTGTTCTGTTACCCTGGTCGTTGGCAATGATTTCTACTTTCCCATGTTGAAAAACACCAACACAGGAAAATGTAGTTCCTAGGTCAATACCAATCGCTGGAGCTTTACTAGTCATTGTTGTTTTGTAAATACGAATGTAAAGTGAAAGTAACTATTACAATCTCTTACGACCGAAATGTTTCTCCTTACAATAGTTTTATAGTGTAGCACGAACTATCTAGTTCAAGCTTGCAGTCTCTTGTGACTGTGTTAACTGACATCTTGGTCGCCGATCTGCCTTATATACAACAAATGAATATTCTCTAAAGTTCCAGATGATTGAATCCCGAAAGATCGAGTGCCAGTTAAAAATAGATTAGATCATTCGGGAATCTTCGCGCACAATCTAGTTTCAAGGTATCACACCGGTAATTGTTTTCACTATATGTTTCTATATAGGAAAAAAATTCTTAAAAAATCAGGTAAATTAATTCATGAAAAAATATTTAGCAGGAAGTATAAAACATTACCTCTCTCATTAGCCGAGTCCAAAAAACAGGGTACCTACACGGCATTTTCTGATTTTTTCCATCTGCAAACAGGGCTACCCTCAAATCCACGTGTTTTCAATGTGTTTATAAACAGCTCCAGTGCACCCCAGGAAGTAGCCTCCTATGCCCTGAAAAAAATAGTTCCTGTCAAAAAACTGTATTTATTTACAAAGTACATTAAATTTACTAGGCACAGGTACCAAAGTTGTAAAAATAGCCTGGAAGAAAATTAAAAAAATTATCAAAAGAAAGAAAAATTAATTTTATATGTATGGAACTACAATTGACTAAGTTCATTTTGATTGGTCAATTACCGGTGTGATACCTTGAAGGACCCTTGAAGTTGTCAGATTTTTTTCATTTTTGCACCTGAGATTTCTTAAATAACTGCCACCAACATCCTTAAGTTTGGTGATCTAATTCCCCTTATTGCTGGAGATATATGCATTTATCTCCCTTACTCCAGAGCAGTCAAGAATACACACAGAGCACTCTGACAGAAGTTTTTTTGTGCATATTTTGAAGCAGAATTTCATCATTAATAGACTAAGTCTGGCAAACAATTTCTTATCCGTGGAGAGTATATACATTGTTCTTCACAACAAACAAAAAATAGTTCACAAGTCTGAGACCATTATGCAATTATTACATAACAAAATTGCATTTTGCCCTCCTAAGAATGACAGAATTCACAGAAATTGTTAAATATTAGACTGATAATAAAATCTGCATCTGGTCAATTTATGTTCCAAATAAAGCCTAGGTACTTGTCTACAAGCTGATGTGCAGAAGTTTATCTAAAAGCTGTGTTGTAACACAGGGCAGTCCAAATGATATCAGCACCTAGGGAGACTCTGGACAGCTCTGACACTCCATTAAACTTGCTTTGATGATAAGAAAATGGAGGAAACAATTCAGATGTAATTTATTGTTTGGATTTATGTAACTGGCTTTCTCTGCAGACACAAATTAGCCATGAAATTCCAATTGAACATGCATAATTATCCTCTTTTCATTGAATTACTCAGGAATTCCAAAGGTGTTTGATGAATTTGCATGATTAATTCAAGATTACAGCTTTTTGTTTCACCAAATTTACATAAAAATTCAACATTTAAATTCCAAAATATAAATCTTAAACATTTTTATGAGTTTTAACACTTTCAAATGTGAAAAAATGCAACAAAAAGACTAATATCAGGCCATCCTACATGGTTCTTGGGGGTGGGTGGGTGTACAAAAACTGCTGATAAAATTTATAGGAAGTGACATAAGAAAAACAGGACACTTTATTAGCTGAATTATGGTTATTCTGATATTTTGATTGTGTAAATATGTCAAATTTCTTCATCACTTTAATTTGTACTTTATTAATATTTCAGTATATTAATATGCTTAACAAATCATGCTGAAATAAGCATCCTGACTGAGACTTAATTTAAAAGAGAGGGTCAAAACCTACATAAAAGTGCTAACATGACAAAACACATTCTCCGACAAACTGAAAAATCATGGATGTCAGCTGCGTAAGCATGCAAAAAGTCCAGAGAACCATAACAGGCATACCATGGTGCTAAGTGACATTCTGTACTACATGTGTGCTACATGATTAGAACTCTGAATAAGTATTCACTCTCATGCCCTGACAGTATTTATGCATTTTTTGGTCATAAGCTTCTTATTTTTGAAAAATTCTAAATAAATTTTACTTGTGCATTTTTTTTATTAGACAAATTTACCTCATTTCATTATTTATATTCCTCCACTGCTGTAATACATGCATCACTTCAGGTGAATAAAATGAAAGTAAATCCACTCTCTGTAAAATTTATCACTCTGTGAAAAAATGTTTTACTTCTTCACATTTTATCGCAGTTGTCACTTTTGTGGAAAACTCATTGGCAAACCCAGAATTAGTCTTTTCTTGAAAAAATCAGCCTAGAGTACTTTTACGGCAAAGTCTGTAGACACTATAATTGACTGCGGTCAGGTGGTGCACATAGTTTAAAGTCATCTAAAATAAAAAACCAACATTTTCTAACTTCTTTCTACATGTCAGATGCATAATCCTACTTTGAAAGTCATAATTTAAAGTTTTGAGGGTAAAACATGATATATTATAAGTATTTTTCACAGAAATCTCTAAAAATTCAATTCAACCCTACTTCTAATTTTTAAAATATGTGCTTTCACACAGAAAGTTCATAAAATGACATATTTTGTTGAAATATGCCTTTTAAAAATTAAAACAACCTTTTATATTGATGCAGATGATTTTACACAATCTCCTTCAAGGTATCACACCGGTAATTGTTTTCACTATATGTTTCTATATAGGAAAAAAATTCTTAAAAAATCAGGTAAATTAATTCATGAAAAAATATTTAGCAGGAAGTATAAAACATTACCTCTCTCATTAGCCGAGTCCAAAAAACAGGGTACCTACACGGCATTTTCTGATTTTTTCCATCTGCAAACAGGGCTACCCTCAAATCCACGTGTTTTCAATGTGTTTATAAACAGCTCCAGTGCACCCCAGGAAGTAGCCTCCTATGCCCTGAAAAAAATAGTTCCTGTCAAAAAACTGTATTTATTTACAAAGTACATTAAATTTACTAGGCACAGGTACCAAAGTTGTAAAAATAGCCTGGAAGAAAATTAAAAAAATTATCAAAAGAAAGAAAAATTAATTTTATATGTATGGAACTACAATTGACTAAGTTCATTTTGATTGGTCAATTACCGGTGTGATACCTTGAAGGACCCTTGAAGTTGTCAGATTTTTTTCATTTTTGCACCTGAGATTTCTTAAATAACTGCCACCAACATCCTTAAGTTTGGTGATCTAATTCCCCTTATTGCTGGAGATATATGCATTTATCTCCCTTACTCCAGAGCAGTCAAGAATACACACAGAGCACTCTGACAGAAGTTTTTTTGTGCATATTTTGAAGCAGAATTTCATCATTAATAGACTAAGTCTGGCAAACAATTTCTTATCCGTGGAGAGTATATACATTGTTCTTCACAACAAACAAAAAATAGTTCACAAGTCTGAGACCATTATGCAATTATTACATAACAAAATTGCATTTTGCCCTCCTAAGAATGACAGAATTCACAGAAATTGTTAAATATTAGACTGATAATAAAATCTGCATCTGGTCAATTTATGTTCCAAATAAAGCCTAGGTACTTGTCTACAAGCTGATGTGCAGAAGTTTATCTAAAAGCTGTGTTGTAACACAGGGCAGTCCAAATGATATCAGCACCTAGGGAGACTCTGGACAGCTCTGACACTCCATTAAACTTGCTTTGATGATAAGAAAATGGAGGAAACAATTCAGATGTAATTTATTGTTTGGATTTATGTAACTGGCTTTCTCTGCAGACACAAATTAGCCATGAAATTCCAATTGAACATGCATAATTATCCTCTTTTCATTGAATTACTCAGGAATTCCAAAGGTGTTTGATGAATTTGCATGATTAATTCAAGATTACAGCTTTTTGTTTCACCAAATTTACATAAAAATTCAACATTTAAATTCCAAAATATAAATCTTAAACATTTTTATGAGTTTTAACACTTTCAAATGTGAAAAAATGCAACAAAAAGACTAATATCAGGCCATCCTACATGGTTCTTGGGGGTGGGTGGGTGTACAAAAACTGCTGATAAAATTTATAGGAAGTGACATAAGAAAAACAGGACACTTTATTAGCTGAATTATGGTTATTCTGATATTTTGATTGTGTAAATATGTCAAATTTCTTCATCACTTTAATTTGTAATTTATTAATATTTCAGTATATTAATATGCTTAACAAATCATGCTGAAATAAGCATCCTGACTGAGACTTAATTTAAAAGAGAGGGTCAAAACCTACATAAAAGTGCTAACATGACAAAACACATTCTCCGACAAACTGAAAAATCATGGATGTCAGCTGCGTAAGCATGCAAAAAGTCCAGAGAACCATAACAGGCATACCATGGTGCTAAGTGACATTCTGTACTACATGTGTGCTACATGATTAGAACTCTGAATAAGTATTCACTCTCATGCCCTGACAGTATTTATGCATTTTTTGGTCATAAGCTTCTTATTTTTGAAAAATTCTAAATAAATTTTACTTGTGCATTTTTTTTATTAGACAAATTTACCTCATTTCATTATTTATATTCCTCCACTGCTGTAATACATGCATCACTTCAGGTGAATAAAATGAAAGTAAATCCACTCTCTGTAAAATTTATCACTCTGTGAAAAAATGTTTTACTTCTTCACATTTTATCGCAGTTGTCACTTTTGTGGAAAACTCATTGGCAAACCCAGAATTAGTCTTTTCTTGAAAAAATCAGCCTAGAGTACTTTTACGGCAAAGTCTGTAGACACTATAATTGACTGCGGTCAGGTGGTGCACATAGTTTAAAGTCATCTAAAATAAAAAACCAACATTTTCTAACTTCTTTCTACATGTCAGATGCATAATCCTACTTTGAAAGTCATAATTTAAAGTTTTGAGGGTAAAACATGATATATTATAAGTATTTTTCACAGAAATCTCTAAAAATTCAATTCAACCCTACTTCTAATTTTTAAAATATGTGCTTTCACACAGAAAGTTCATAAAATGACATATTTTGTTGAAATATGCCTTTTAAAAATTAAAACAACCTTTTATATTGATGCAGATGATTTTACACAATCTCCTTGAAGGACCCTTGAAGTTGTCAGATTTTTTTCATTTTTGCACCTGAGATTTCTTAAATAACTGCCACCAACATCCTTAAGTTTGGTGATCTAATTCCCCTTATTGCTGGAGATATATGCATTTATCTCCCTTACTCCAGAGCAGTCAAGAATACACACAGAGCACTCTGACAGAAGTTTTTTTGTGCATATTTTGAAGCAGAATTTCATCATTAATAGACTAAGTCTGGCAAACAATTTCTTATCCGTGGAGAGTATATACATTGTTCTTCACAACAAACAAAAAATAGTTCACAAGTCTGAGACCATTATGCAATTATTACATAACAAAATTGCATTTTGCCCTCCTAAGAATGACAGAATTCACAGAAATTGTTAAATATTAGACTGATAATAAAATCTGCATCTGGTCAATTTATGTTCCAAATAAAGCCTAGGTACTTGTCTACAAGCTGATGTGCAGAAGTTTATCTAAAAGCTGTGTTGTAACACAGGGCAGTCCAAATGATATCAGCACCTAGGGAGACTCTGGACAGCTCTGACACTCCATTAAACTTGCTTTGATGATAAGAAAATGGAGGAAACAATTCAGATGTAATTTATTGTTTGGATTTATGTAACTGGCTTTCTCTGCAGACACAAATTAGCCATGAAATTCCAATTGAACATGCATAATTATCCTCTTTTCATTGAATTACTCAGGAATTCCAAAGGTGTTTGATGAATTTGCATGATTAATTCAAGATTACAGCTTTTTGTTTCACCAAATTTACATAAAAATTCAACATTTAAATTCCAAAATATAAATCTTAAACATTTTTATGAGTTTTAACACTTTCAAATGTGAAAAAATGCAACAAAAAGACTAATATCAGGCCATCCTACATGGTTCTTGGGGGTGGGTGGGTGTACAAAAACTGCTGATAAAATTTATAGGAAGTGACATAAGAAAAACAGGACACTTTATTAGCTGAATTATGGTTATTCTGATATTTTGATTGTGTAAATATGTCAAATTTCTTCATCACTTTAATTTGTAATTTATTAATATTTCAGTATATTAATATGCTTAACAAATCATGCTGAAATAAGCATCCTGACTGAGACTTAATTTAAAAGAGAGGGTCAAAACCTACATAAAAGTGCTAACATGACAAAACACATTCTCCGACAAACTGAAAAATCATGGATGTCAGCTGCGTAAGCATGCAAAAAGTCCAGAGAACCATAACAGGCATACCATGGTGCTAAGTGACATTCTGTACTACATGTGTGCTACATGATTAGAACTCTGAATAAGTATTCACTCTCATGCCCTGACAGTATTTATGCATTTTTTGGTCATAAGCTTCTTATTTTTGAAAAATTCTAAATAAATTTTACTTGTGCATTTTTTTTATTAGACAAATTTACCTCATTTCATTATTTATATTCCTCCACTGCTGTAATACATGCATCACTTCAGGTGAATAAAATGAAAGTAAATCCACTCTCTGTAAAATTTATCACTCTGTGAAAAAATGTTTTACTTCTTCACATTTTATCGCAGTTGTCACTTTTGTGGAAAACTCATTGGCAAACCCAGAATTAGTCTTTTCTTGAAAAAATCAGCCTAGAGTACTTTTACGGCAAAGTCTGTAGACACTATAATTGACTGCGGTCAGGTGGTGCACATAGTTTAAAGTCATCTAAAATAAAAAACCAACATTTTCTAACTTCTTTCTACATGTCAGATGCATAATCCTACTTTGAAAGTCATAATTTAAAGTTTTGAGGGTAAAACATGATATATTATAAGTATTTTTCACAGAAATCTCTAAAAATTCAATTCAACCCTACTTCTAATTTTTAAAATATGTGCTTTCACACAGAAAGTTCATAAAATGACATATTTTGTTGAAATATGCCTTTTAAAAATTAAAACAACCTTTTATATTGATGCAGATGATTTTACACAATCTCCTTCAAGGTATCACACCGGTAATTGTTTTCACTATATGTTTCTATATAGGAAAAAAATTCTTAAAAAATCAGGTAAATTAATTCATGAAAAAATATTTAGCAGGAAGTATAAAACATTACCTCTCTCATTAGCCGAGTCCAAAAAACAGGGTACCTACACGGCATTTTCTGATTTTTTCCATCTGCAAACAGGGCTACCCTCAAATCCACGTGTTTTCAATGTGTTTATAAACAGCTCCAGTGCACCCCAGGAAGTAGCCTCCTATGCCCTGAAAAAAATAGTTCCTGTCAAAAAACTGTATTTATTTACAAAGTACATTAAATTTACTAGGCACAGGTACCAAAGTTGTAAAAATAGCCTGGAAGAAAATTAAAAAAATTATCAAAAGAAAGAAAAATTAATTTTATATGTATGGAACTACAATTGACTAAGTTCATTTTGATTGGTCAATTACCGGTGTGATACCTTGAAGGACCCTTGAAGTTGTCAGATTTTTTTCATTTTTGCACCTGAGATTTCTTAAATAACTGCCACCAACATCCTTAAGTTTGGTGATCTAATTCCCCTTATTGCTGGAGATATATGCATTTATCTCCCTTACTCCAGAGCAGTCAAGAATACACACAGAGCACTCTGACAGAAGTTTTTTTGTGCATATTTTGAAGCAGAATTTCATCATTAATAGACTAAGTCTGGCAAACAATTTCTTATCCGTGGAGAGTATATACATTGTTCTTCACAACAAACAAAAAATAGTTCACAAGTCTGAGACCATTATGCAATTATTACATAACAAAATTGCATTTTGCCCTCCTAAGAATGACAGAATTCACAGAAATTGTTAAATATTAGACTGATAATAAAATCTGCATCTGGTCAATTTATGTTCCAAATAAAGCCTAGGTACTTGTCTACAAGCTGATGTGCAGAAGTTTATCTAAAAGCTGTGTTGTAACACAGGGCAGTCCAAATGATATCAGCACCTAGGGAGACTCTGGACAGCTCTGACACTCCATTAAACTTGCTTTGATGATAAGAAAATGGAGGAAACAATTCAGATGTAATTTATTGTTTGGATTTATGTAACTGGCTTTCTCTGCAGACACAAATTAGCCATGAAATTCCAATTGAACATGCATAATTATCCTCTTTTCATTGAATTACTCAGGAATTCCAAAGGTGTTTGATGAATTTGCATGATTAATTCAAGATTACAGCTTTTTGTTTCACCAAATTTACATAAAAATTCAACATTTAAATTCCAAAATATAAATCTTAAACATTTTTATGAGTTTTAACACTTTCAAATGTGAAAAAATGCAACAAAAAGACTAATATCAGGCCATCCTACATGGTTCTTGGGGGTGGGTGGGTGTACAAAAACTGCTGATAAAATTTATAGGAAGTGACATAAGAAAAACAGGACACTTTATTAGCTGAATTATGGTTATTCTGATATTTTGATTGTGTAAATATGTCAAATTTCTTCATCACTTTAATTTGTAATTTATTAATATTTCAGTATATTAATATGCTTAACAAATCATGCTGAAATAAGCATCCTGACTGAGACTTAATTTAAAAGAGAGGGTCAAAACCTACATAAAAGTGCTAACATGACAAAACACATTCTCCGACAAACTGAAAAATCATGGATGTCAGCTGCGTAAGCATGCAAAAAGTCCAGAGAACCATAACAGGCATACCATGGTGCTAAGTGACATTCTGTACTACATGTGTGCTACATGATTAGAACTCTGAATAAGTATTCACTCTCATGCCCTGACAGTATTTATGCATTTTTTGGTCATAAGCTTCTTATTTTTGAAAAATTCTAAATAAATTTTACTTGTGCATTTTTTTTATTAGACAAATTTACCTCATTTCATTATTTATATTCCTCCACTGCTGTAATACATGCATCACTTCAGGTGAATAAAATGAAAGTAAATCCACTCTCTGTAAAATTTATCACTCTGTGAAAAAATGTTTTACTTCTTCACATTTTATCGCAGTTGTCACTTTTGTGGAAAACTCATTGGCAAACCCAGAATTAGTCTTTTCTTGAAAAAATCAGCCTAGAGTACTTTTACGGCAAAGTCTGTAGACACTATAATTGACTGCGGTCAGGTGGTGCACATAGTTTAAAGTCATCTAAAATAAAAAACCAACATTTTCTAACTTCTTTCTACATGTCAGATGCATAATCCTACTTTGAAAGTCATAATTTAAAGTTTTGAGGGTAAAACATGATATATTATAAGTATTTTTCACAGAAATCTCTAAAAATTCAATTCAACCCTACTTCTAATTTTTAAAATATGTGCTTTCACACAGAAAGTTCATAAAATGACATATTTTGTTGAAATATGCCTTTTAAAAATTAAAACAACCTTTTATATTGATGCAGATGATTTTACACAATCTCCTTGAAGGACCCTTGAAGTTGTCAGATTTTTTTCATTTTTGCACCTGAGATTTCTTAAATAACTGCCACCAACATCCTTAAGTTTGGTGATCTAATTCCCCTTATTGCTGGAGATATATGCATTTATCTCCCTTACTCCAGAGCAGTCAAGAATACACACAGAGCACTCTGACAGAAGTTTTTTTGTGCATATTTTGAAGCAGAATTTCATCATTAATAGACTAAGTCTGGCAAACAATTTCTTATCCGTGGAGAGTATATACATTGTTCTTCACAACAAACAAAAAATAGTTCACAAGTCTGAGACCATTATGCAATTATTACATAACAAAATTGCATTTTGCCCTCCTAAGAATGACAGAATTCACAGAAATTGTTAAATATTAGACTGATAATAAAATCTGCATCTGGTCAATTTATGTTCCAAATAAAGCCTAGGTACTTGTCTACAAGCTGATGTGCAGAAGTTTATCTAAAAGCTGTGTTGTAACACAGGGCAGTCCAAATGATATCAGCACCTAGGGAGACTCTGGACAGCTCTGACACTCCATTAAACTTGCTTTGATGATAAGAAAATGGAGGAAACAATTCAGATGTAATTTATTGTTTGGATTTATGTAACTGGCTTTCTCTGCAGACACAAATTAGCCATGAAATTCCAATTGAACATGCATAATTATCCTCTTTTCATTGAATTACTCAGGAATTCCAAAGGTGTTTGATGAATTTGCATGATTAATTCAAGATTACAGCTTTTTGTTTCACCAAATTTACATAAAAATTCAACATTTAAATTCCAAAATATAAATCTTAAACATTTTTATGAGTTTTAACACTTTCAAATGTGAAAAAATGCAACAAAAAGACTAATATCAGGCCATCCTACATGGTTCTTGGGGGTGGGTGGGTGTACAAAAACTGCTGATAAAATTTATAGGAAGTGACATAAGAAAAACAGGACACTTTATTAGCTGAATTATGGTTATTCTGATATTTTGATTGTGTAAATATGTCAAATTTCTTCATCACTTTAATTTGTAATTTATTAATATTTCAGTATATTAATATGCTTAACAAATCATGCTGAAATAAGCATCCTGACTGAGACTTAATTTAAAAGAGAGGGTCAAAACCTACATAAAAGTGCTAACATGACAAAACACATTCTCCGACAAACTGAAAAATCATGGATGTCAGCTGCGTAAGCATGCAAAAAGTCCAGAGAACCATAACAGGCATACCATGGTGCTAAGTGACATTCTGTACTACATGTGTGCTACATGATTAGAACTCTGAATAAGTATTCACTCTCATGCCCTGACAGTATTTATGCATTTTTTGGTCATAAGCTTCTTATTTTTGAAAAATTCTAAATAAATTTTACTTGTGCATTTTTTTTATTAGACAAATTTACCTCATTTCATTATTTATATTCCTCCACTGCTGTAATACATGCATCACTTCAGGTGAATAAAATGAAAGTAAATCCACTCTCTGTAAAATTTATCACTCTGTGAAAAAATGTTTTACTTCTTCACATTTTATCGCAGTTGTCACTTTTGTGGAAAACTCATTGGCAAACCCAGAATTAGTCTTTTCTTGAAAAAATCAGCCTAGAGTACTTTTACGGCAAAGTCTGTAGACACTATAATTGACTGCGGTCAGGTGGTGCACATAGTTTAAAGTCATCTAAAATAAAAAACCAACATTTTCTAACTTCTTTCTACATGTCAGATGCATAATCCTACTTTGAAAGTCATAATTTAAAGTTTTGAGGGTAAAACATGATATATTATAAGTATTTTTCACAGAAATCTCTAAAAATTCAATTCAACCCTACTTCTAATTTTTAAAATATGTGCTTTCACACAGAAAGTTCATAAAATGACATATTTTGTTGAAATATGCCTTTTAAAAATTAAAACAACCTTTTATATTGATGCAGATGATTTTACACAATCTCCTTCAAGGTATCACACCGGTAATTGTTTTCACTATATGTTTCTATATAGGAAAAAAATTCTTAAAAAATCAGGTAAATTAATTCATGAAAAAATATTTAGCAGGAAGTATAAAACATTACCTCTCTCATTAGCCGAGTCCAAAAAACAGGGTACCTACACGGCATTTTCTGATTTTTTCCATCTGCAAACAGGGCTACCCTCAAATCCACGTGTTTTCAATGTGTTTATAAACAGCTCCAGTGCACCCCAGGAAGTAGCCTCCTATGCCCTGAAAAAAATAGTTCCTGTCAAAAAACTGTATTTATTTACAAAGTACATTAAATTTACTAGGCACAGGTACCAAAGTTGTAAAAATAGCCTGGAAGAAAATTAAAAAAATTATCAAAAGAAAGAAAAATTAATTTTATATGTATGGAACTACAATTGACTAAGTTCATTTTGATTGGTCAATTACCGGTGTGATACCTTGAAGGACCCTTGAAGTTGTCAGATTTTTTTCATTTTTGCACCTGAGATTTCTTAAATAACTGCCACCAACATCCTTAAGTTTGGTGATCTAATTCCCCTTATTGCTGGAGATATATGCATTTATCTCCCTTACTCCAGAGCAGTCAAGAATACACACAGAGCACTCTGACAGAAGTTTTTTTGTGCATATTTTGAAGCAGAATTTCATCATTAATAGACTAAGTCTGGCAAACAATTTCTTATCCGTGGAGAGTATATACATTGTTCTTCACAACAAACAAAAAATAGTTCACAAGTCTGAGACCATTATGCAATTATTACATAACAAAATTGCATTTTGCCCTCCTAAGAATGACAGAATTCACAGAAATTGTTAAATATTAGACTGATAATAAAATCTGCATCTGGTCAATTTATGTTCCAAATAAAGCCTAGGTACTTGTCTACAAGCTGATGTGCAGAAGTTTATCTAAAAGCTGTGTTGTAACACAGGGCAGTCCAAATGATATCAGCACCTAGGGAGACTCTGGACAGCTCTGACACTCCATTAAACTTGCTTTGATGATAAGAAAATGGAGGAAACAATTCAGATGTAATTTATTGTTTGGATTTATGTAACTGGCTTTCTCTGCAGACACAAATTAGCCATGAAATTCCAATTGAACATGCATAATTATCCTCTTTTCATTGAATTACTCAGGAATTCCAAAGGTGTTTGATGAATTTGCATGATTAATTCAAGATTACAGCTTTTTGTTTCACCAAATTTACATAAAAATTCAACATTTAAATTCCAAAATATAAATCTTAAACATTTTTATGAGTTTTAACACTTTCAAATGTGAAAAAATGCAACAAAAAGACTAATATCAGGCCATCCTACATGGTTCTTGGGGGTGGGTGGGTGTACAAAAACTGCTGATAAAATTTATAGGAAGTGACATAAGAAAAACAGGACACTTTATTAGCTGAATTATGGTTATTCTGATATTTTGATTGTGTAAATATGTCAAATTTCTTCATCACTTTAATTTGTAATTTATTAATATTTCAGTATATTAATATGCTTAACAAATCATGCTGAAATAAGCATCCTGACTGAGACTTAATTTAAAAGAGAGGGTCAAAACCTACATAAAAGTGCTAACATGACAAAACACATTCTCCGACAAACTGAAAAATCATGGATGTCAGCTGCGTAAGCATGCAAAAAGTCCAGAGAACCATAACAGGCATACCATGGTGCTAAGTGACATTCTGTACTACATGTGTGCTACATGATTAGAACTCTGAATAAGTATTCACTCTCATGCCCTGACAGTATTTATGCATTTTTTGGTCATAAGCTTCTTATTTTTGAAAAATTCTAAATAAATTTTACTTGTGCATTTTTTTTATTAGACAAATTTACCTCATTTCATTATTTATATTCCTCCACTGCTGTAATACATGCATCACTTCAGGTGAATAAAATGAAAGTAAATCCACTCTCTGTAAAATTTATCACTCTGTGAAAAAATGTTTTACTTCTTCACATTTTATCGCAGTTGTCACTTTTGTGGAAAACTCATTGGCAAACCCAGAATTAGTCTTTTCTTGAAAAAATCAGCCTAGAGTACTTTTACGGCAAAGTCTGTAGACACTATAATTGACTGCGGTCAGGTGGTGCACATAGTTTAAAGTCATCTAAAATAAAAAACCAACATTTTCTAACTTCTTTCTACATGTCAGATGCATAATCCTACTTTGAAAGTCATAATTTAAAGTTTTGAGGGTAAAACATGATATATTATAAGTATTTTTCACAGAAATCTCTAAAAATTCAATTCAACCCTACTTCTAATTTTTAAAATATGTGCTTTCACACAGAAAGTTCATAAAATGACATATTTTGTTGAAATATGCCTTTTAAAAATTAAAACAACCTTTTATATTGATGCAGATGATTTTACACAATCTCCTTCAAGGACCCTTGAAGTTGTCAGATTTTTTTCATTTTTGCACCTGAGATTTCTTAAATAACTGCCACCAACATCCTTAAGTTTGGTGATCTAATTCCCCTTATTGCTGGAGATATATGCATTTATCTCCCTTACTCCAGAGCAGTCAAGAATACACACAGAGCACTCTGACAGAAGTTTTTTTTGTGCATATTTTGAAGCAGAATTTCATCATTAATAGACTAAGTCTGGCAAACAATTTCTTATCCGTGGAGAGTATATACATTGTTCTTCACAACAAACAAAAAATAGTTCACAAGTCTGAGACCATTATGCAATTATTACATAACAAAATTGCATTTTGCCCTCCTAAGAATGACAGAATTCACAGAAATTGTTAAATATTAGACTGATAATAAAATCTGCATCTGGTCAATTTATGTTCCAAATAAAGCCTAGGTACTTGTCTACAAGCTGATGTGCAGAAGTTTATCTAAAAGCTGTGTTGTAACACAGGGCAGTCCAAATGATATCAGCACCTAGGGAGACTCTGGACAGCTCTGACACTCCATTAAACTTGCTTTGATGATAAGAAAATGGAGGAAACAATTCAGATGTAATTTATTGTTTGGATTTATGTAACTGGCTTTCTCTGCAGACACAAATTAGCCATGAAATTCCAATTGAACATGCATAATTATCCTCTTTTCATTGAATTACTCAGGAATTCCAAAGGTGTTTGATGAATTTGCATGATTAATTCAAGATTACAGCTTTTTGTTTCACCAAATTTACATAAAAATTCAACATTTAAATTCCAAAATATAAATCTTAAACATTTTTATGAGTTTTAACACTTTCAAATGTGAAAAAATGCAACAAAAAGACTAATATCAGGCCATCCTACATGGTTCTTGGGGGTGGGTGGGTGTACAAAAACTGCTGATAAAATTTATAGGAAGTGACATAAGAAAAACAGGACACTTTATTAGCTGAATTATGGTTATTCTGATATTTTGATTGTGTAAATATGTCAAATTTCTTCATCACTTTAATTTGTAATTTATTAATATTTCAGTATATTAATATGCTTAACAAATCATGCTGAAATAAGCATCCTGACTGAGACTTAATTTAAAAGAGAGGGTCAAAACCTACATAAAAGTGCTAACATGACAAAACACATTCTCCGACAAACTGAAAAATCATGGATGTCAGCTGCGTAAGCATGCAAAAAGTCCAGAGAACCATAACAGGCATACCATGGTGCTAAGTGACATTCTGTACTACATGTGTGCTACATGATTAGAACTCTGAATAAGTATTCACTCTCATGCCCTGACAGTATTTATGCATTTTTTGGTCATAAGCTTCTTATTTTTGAAAAATTCTAAATAAATTTTACTTGTGCATTTTTTTTATTAGACAAATTTACCTCATTTCATTATTTATATTCCTCCACTGCTGTAATACATGCATCACTTCAGGTGAATAAAATGAAAGTAAATCCACTCTCTGTAAAATTTATCACTCTGTGAAAAAATGTTTTACTTCTTCACATTTTATCGCAGTTGTCACTTTTGTGGAAAACTCATTGGCAAACCCAGAATTAGTCTTTTCTTGAAAAAATCAGCCTAGAGTACTTTTACGGCAAAGTCTGTAGACACTATAATTGACTGCGGTCAGGTGGTGCACATAGTTTAAAGTCATCTAAAATAAAAAACCAACATTTTCTAACTTCTTTCTACATGTCAGATGCATAATCCTACTTTGAAAGTCATAATTTAAAGTTTTGAGGGTAAAACATGATATATTATAAGTATTTTTCACAGAAATCTCTAAAAATTCAATTCAACCCTACTTCTAATTTTTAAAATATGTGCTTTCACACAGAAAGTTCATAAAATGACATATTTTGTTGAAATATGCCTTTTAAAAATTAAAACAACCTTTTATATTGATGCAGATGATTTTACACAATCTCCTTCAAGGTATCACACCGGTAATTGTTTTCACTATATGTTTCTATATAGGAAAAAAATTCTTAAAAAATCAGGTAAATTAATTCATGAAAAAATATTTAGCAGGAAGTATAAAACATTACCTCTCTCATTAGCCGAGTCCAAAAAACAGGGTACCTACACGGCATTTTCTGATTTTTTCCATCTGCAAACAGGGCTACCCTCAAATCCACGTGTTTTCAATGTGTTTATAAACAGCTCCAGTGCACCCCAGGAAGTAGCCTCCTATGCCCTGAAAAAAATAGTTCCTGTCAAAAAACTGTATTTATTTACAAAGTACATTAAATTTACTAGGCACAGGTACCAAAGTTGTAAAAATAGCCTGGAAGAAAATTAAAAAAATTATCAAAAGAAAGAAAAATTAATTTTATATGTATGGAACTACAATTGACTAAGTTCATTTTGATTGGTCAATTACCGGTGTGATACCTTGAAGGACCCTTGAAGTTGTCAGATTTTTTTCATTTTTGCACCTGAGATTTCTTAAATAACTGCCACCAACATCCTTAAGTTTGGTGATCTAATTCCCCTTATTGCTGGAGATATATGCATTTATCTCCCTTACTCCAGAGCAGTCAAGAATACACACAGAGCACTCTGACAGAAGTTTTTTTTGTGCATATTTTGAAGCAGAATTTCATCATTAATAGACTAAGTCTGGCAAACAATTTCTTATCCGTGGAGAGTATATACATTGTTCTTCACAACAAACAAAAAATAGTTCACAAGTCTGAGACCATTATGCAATTATTACATAACAAAATTGCATTTTGCCCTCCTAAGAATGACAGAATTCACAGAAATTGTTAAATATTAGACTGATAATAAAATCTGCATCTGGTCAATTTATGTTCCAAATAAAGCCTAGGTACTTGTCTACAAGCTGATGTGCAGAAGTTTATCTAAAAGCTGTGTTGTAACACAGGGCAGTCCAAATGATATCAGCACCTAGGGAGACTCTGGACAGCTCTGACACTCCATTAAACTTGCTTTGATGATAAGAAAATGGAGGAAACAATTCAGATGTAATTTATTGTTTGGATTTATGTAACTGGCTTTCTCTGCAGACACAAATTAGCCATGAAATTCCAATTGAACATGCATAATTATCCTCTTTTCATTGAATTACTCAGGAATTCCAAAGGTGTTTGATGAATTTGCATGATTAATTCAAGATTACAGCTTTTTGTTTCACCAAATTTACATAAAAATTCAACATTTAAATTCCAAAATATAAATCTTAAACATTTTTATGAGTTTTAACACTTTCAAATGTGAAAAAATGCAACAAAAAGACTAATATCAGGCCATCCTACATGGTTCTTGGGGGTGGGTGGGTGTACAAAAACTGCTGATAAAATTTATAGGAAGTGACATAAGAAAAACAGGACACTTTATTAGCTGAATTATGGTTATTCTGATATTTTGATTGTGTAAATATGTCAAATTTCTTCATCACTTTAATTTGTAATTTATTAATATTTCAGTATATTAATATGCTTAACAAATCATGCTGAAATAAGCATCCTGACTGAGACTTAATTTAAAAGAGAGGGTCAAAACCTACATAAAAGTGCTAACATGACAAAACACATTCTCCGACAAACTGAAAAATCATGGATGTCAGCTGCGTAAGCATGCAAAAAGTCCAGAGAACCATAACAGGCATACCATGGTGCTAAGTGACATTCTGTACTACATGTGTGCTACATGATTAGAACTCTGAATAAGTATTCACTCTCATGCCCTGACAGTATTTATGCATTTTTTGGTCATAAGCTTCTTATTTTTGAAAAATTCTAAATAAATTTTACTTGTGCATTTTTTTTATTAGACAAATTTACCTCATTTCATTATTTATATTCCTCCACTGCTGTAATACATGCATCACTTCAGGTGAATAAAATGAAAGTAAATCCACTCTCTGTAAAATTTATCACTCTGTGAAAAAATGTTTTACTTCTTCACATTTTATCGCAGTTGTCACTTTTGTGGAAAACTCATTGGCAAACCCAGAATTAGTCTTTTCTTGAAAAAATCAGCCTAGAGTACTTTTACGGCAAAGTCTGTAGACACTATAATTGACTGCGGTCAGGTGGTGCACATAGTTTAAAGTCATCTAAAATAAAAAACCAACATTTTCTAACTTCTTTCTACATGTCAGATGCATAATCCTACTTTGAAAGTCATAATTTAAAGTTTTGAGGGTAAAACATGATATATTATAAGTATTTTTCACAGAAATCTCTAAAAATTCAATTCAACCCTACTTCTAATTTTTAAAATATGTGCTTTCACACAGAAAGTTCATAAAATGACATATTTTGTTGAAATATGCCTTTTAAAAATTAAAACAACCTTTTATATTGATGCAGATGATTTTACACAATCTCCTTCAAGGTATCACACCGGTAATTGTTTTCACTATATGTTTCTATATAGGAAAAAAATTCTTAAAAAATCAGGTAAATTAATTCATGAAAAAATATTTAGCAGGAAGTATAAAACATTACCTCTCTCATTAGCCGAGTCCAAAAAACAGGGTACCTACACGGCATTTTCTGATTTTTTCCATCTGCAAACAGGGCTACCCTCAAATCCACGTGTTTTCAATGTGTTTATAAACAGCTCCAGTGCACCCCAGGAAGTAGCCTCCTATGCCCTGAAAAAAATAGTTCCTGTCAAAAAACTGTATTTATTTACAAAGTACATTAAATTTACTAGGCACAGGTACCAAAGTTGTAAAAATAGCCTGGAAGAAAATTAAAAAAATTATCAAAAGAAAGAAAAATTAATTTTATATGTATGGAACTACAATTGACTAAGTTCATTTTGATTGGTCAATTACCGGTGTGATACCTTGAAGGACCCTTGAAGTTGTCAGATTTTTTTCATTTTTGCACCTGAGATTTCTTAAATAACTGCCACCAACATCCTTAAGTTTGGTGATCTAATTCCCCTTATTGCTGGAGATATATGCATTTATCTCCCTTACTCCAGAGCAGTCAAGAATACACACAGAGCACTCTGACAGAAGTTTTTTTTGTGCATATTTTGAAGCAGAATTTCATCATTAATAGACTAAGTCTGGCAAACAATTTCTTATCCGTGGAGAGTATATACATTGTTCTTCACAACAAACAAAAAATAGTTCACAAGTCTGAGACCATTATGCAATTATTACATAACAAAATTGCATTTTGCCCTCCTAAGAATGACAGAATTCACAGAAATTGTTAAATATTAGACTGATAATAAAATCTGCATCTGGTCAATTTATGTTCCAAATAAAGCCTAGGTACTTGTCTACAAGCTGATGTGCAGAAGTTTATCTAAAAGCTGTGTTGTAACACAGGGCAGTCCAAATGATATCAGCACCTAGGGAGACTCTGGACAGCTCTGACACTCCATTAAACTTGCTTTGATGATAAGAAAATGGAGGAAACAATTCAGATGTAATTTATTGTTTGGATTTATGTAACTGGCTTTCTCTGCAGACACAAATTAGCCATGAAATTCCAATTGAACATGCATAATTATCCTCTTTTCATTGAATTACTCAGGAATTCCAAAGGTGTTTGATGAATTTGCATGATTAATTCAAGATTACAGCTTTTTGTTTCACCAAATTTACATAAAAATTCAACATTTAAATTCCAAAATATAAATCTTAAACATTTTTATGAGTTTTAACACTTTCAAATGTGAAAAAATGCAACAAAAAGACTAATATCAGGCCATCCTACATGGTTCTTGGGGGTGGGTGGGTGTACAAAAACTGCTGATAAAATTTATAGGAAGTGACATAAGAAAAACAGGACACTTTATTAGCTGAATTATGGTTATTCTGATATTTTGATTGTGTAAATATGTCAAATTTCTTCATCACTTTAATTTGTAATTTATTAATATTTCAGTATATTAATATGCTTAACAAATCATGCTGAAATAAGCATCCTGACTGAGACTTAATTTAAAAGAGAGGGTCAAAACCTACATAAAAGTGCTAACATGACAAAACACATTCTCCGACAAACTGAAAAATCATGGATGTCAGCTGCGTAAGCATGCAAAAAGTCCAGAGAACCATAACAGGCATACCATGGTGCTAAGTGACATTCTGTACTACATGTGTGCTACATGATTAGAACTCTGAATAAGTATTCACTCTCATGCCCTGACAGTATTTATGCATTTTTTGGTCATAAGCTTCTTATTTTTGAAAAATTCTAAATAAATTTTACTTGTGCATTTTTTTTATTAGACAAATTTACCTCATTTCATTATTTATATTCCTCCACTGCTGTAATACATGCATCACTTCAGGTGAATAAAATGAAAGTAAATCCACTCTCTGTAAAATTTATCACTCTGTGAAAAAATGTTTTACTTCTTCACATTTTATCGCAGTTGTCACTTTTGTGGAAAACTCATTGGCAAACCCAGAATTAGTCTTTTCTTGAAAAAATCAGCCTAGAGTACTTTTACGGCAAAGTCTGTAGACACTATAATTGACTGCGGTCAGGTGGTGCACATAGTTTAAAGTCATCTAAAATAAAAAACCAACATTTTCTAACTTCTTTCTACATGTCAGATGCATAATCCTACTTTGAAAGTCATAATTTAAAGTTTTGAGGGTAAAACATGATATATTATAAGTATTTTTCACAGAAATCTCTAAAAATTCAATTCAACCCTACTTCTAATTTTTAAAATATGTGCTTTCACACAGAAAGTTCATAAAATGACATATTTTGTTGAAATATGCCTTTTAAAAATTAAAACAACCTTTTATATTGATGCAGATGATTTTACACAATCTCCTTCAAGGTATCACACCGGTAATTGTTTTCACTATATGTTTCTATATAGGAAAAAAATTCTTAAAAAATCAGGTAAATTAATTCATGAAAAAATATTTAGCAGGAAGTATAAAACATTACCTCTCTCATTAGCCGAGTCCAAAAAACAGGGTACCTACACGGCATTTTCTGATTTTTTCCATCTGCAAACAGGGCTACCCTCAAATCCACGTGTTTTCAATGTGTTTATAAACAGCTCCAGTGCACCCCAGGAAGTAGCCTCCTATGCCCTGAAAAAAATAGTTCCTGTCAAAAAACTGTATTTATTTACAAAGTACATTAAATTTACTAGGCACAGGTACCAAAGTTGTAAAAATAGCCTGGAAGAAAATTAAAAAAATTATCAAAAGAAAGAAAAATTAATTTTATATGTATGGAACTACAATTGATTCATTTTGATTGGTCAATTACCGGTGTGATACCTTGAATGCAGTTTCGAAATCACTCGGCACACCTCGGCCGATTACATCAAGTTTGATGTAGGGTACCATAGTCAGCCGAGGTGAGGAGATCTCTGTTCGTCGGAGATTTACGGAGACAGCCGAGCGTCTGGTTGTGAAGAATGTATTAAGGTATCCAGTCAACTCGCACACAACCCGACTCGTACACAAGGAGTTCAGTGTTGTGTACGAGTTGACTCCTTGACCACAAGGCGGTTTTTTTTGTACGATTCGGTTTGTGTACGAGTTGACTGTAAATCCTTATCAAGACAGACTCAAACCAAAAATGCCAATTAAATCGCACAGAAGAACTACACATTCATATTGCTGCCTTGTGAAAAGGATACGCAATCAACACTCAGTAGCAAATGACATGCATACTGTACTTTCACTTTAGTGTTTGTAAACAATCATGGCTAGTAAAGCCTCAGCAATCGGCATTGATCTCGGAACAACATATTCCTGTGTTGGTGTATTTCAACATGGAAAGGTGGATATCATTGCCAATGACCAAGGAAACAGAACGACACCCAGTTATGTGGCATTCATGGACACAGAAAAACTCATTGGAGATGCAGCTAAAAACCAGGTTGCGTTAAACAGCGCAAATACGATTTTTGACGCCAAAAGGCTGATTGAACGCAAATTTAATGATGACAGTGTGCAAGCCGATATGAAACACTGGTCGTTCAAAGTCGTCAATGATGGAGGAAAACCAAAGCTTGAGGTAGAATACGTACAAGAATGAGAAAAAGCGATTTACACCTGAGGAAATCAGTTCCATGGTGCTGACCAAAATGAAGGAGACAGCGGAATCTTACCTCGGACAGCCCGTCAAAGACGCCGTCATTACAGTCCCAGCTTACTTCAATAATGCTCAAAGAGAGGCTACCAAGGATGCTGGAGTCATAGCCGGTCTCAATGTTCTCAGGATTGTGAACGAACCTACAGCGGCCGCCCTGGCCTATGGACTTGATAAAAACCTTTCAGGTGAGAAAAATGTGCTCATCTTTGATTTGGGTGGAGGAACATTTGATGTGTCCATCCTTACCATAGATCAGGGTTCCATGTTTGAAGTTCGCTCAACTGCTGGTGACACACATCTTGGAGGTGAAGATTTTGACAATAGAATGGTGAATCACTTTGTACAGGAATTTAAGCGCAAATACGGTAAGGACATTTCCAACAACCAACGTGGTGCACTTAGACGACTCGGATCAGCTTGTGAACGTGCCAAGAGGACACTGTCCAGCAGCTCTGATGCCAACATTGATATTGATTCATTTTTTGAATGCATTGGTTTTTACAGCAAAATCACACGAGCAAGATTTGAGGACTTATGTTCAGATTTGTTCCGTTCTACCCTGGAGCTGGTAGAAAAAGCTCTGAGGGATGCTAAGATGGACAAATCCCAAATCCACGATGTGGTTCTTGTAGGAGGATCGACAAGAATTCCTAAGATCCAAAAACAACTTCAGGATTTCATGGGAGGCAAAGAACTGAATAAATCAATCAACCCAGACGAAGCTGTGGCCTATGGTGCTGCTATTCAGGCTGCCATTTTGAAAGGAGACACAAGTGAAGCCATCAAAGACGTTCTCCCGGTAGATTTTACCCCAGTTTCTTTAGGCATTGAATCTGCTGGAGGAGTCATGACCAAAATTATTGAAAGGAATGCCAAATTTCCCTGCAAGGCATCAAAGACATTCACTACATATGCTGATAACCAGCCAGGAATGTCCATTCAGGTATTTGATGGTGAACGAGCCATGACCAAAAACAATAATAAACTGGGTAAATTCGAACTGAATGGGATCCCTCCAGCACCTCGTGGTGTTCCACAGATTAAAGTGGAATTTAATTTAGATGCAAACGGAATCCTAAATGTATCAGCCAAAGACATGAGCACGGGCAAGTCTAACAAAATTACCATCACTAATGACAAACGTCGCCTGAGTAAGGCTGACATAGATAGAATGGTAAAAGAAGCCGAAAAAAACAAAGATGAAGACGAGAAACGAAGGCAAAAAATAGCAGCCCGGAATCAACTAGAGTCGTATGTGTTCTCTGTCAAACAGGCAACAGAGGAACATGGAGACAAACTCCCGTCTGAAGACAAAGACACTGTGACAAGAGTTTGCACTGAAACTCTGTCATGGTTAGATAGTAATGCCCTAGCAGATACTGACGAGTTTGAATACAAACTAAAGGAAGTTCAGAAAGTATGTTCTCCCATTATGGCCAAACTTCATGGAGGAAACCATGGTCATTCTGGTGCTAGTCAAGGCGAAGGGCCTACAGTAGAGGAGATAGATTAAAGTTAAATGAAGACTGATTTGATTTACAGTATTATGAAATTAACAGGATATAATCTGTATGAAAGTTTTCATATTTTATACATAAGTGATAAGAATTTGGATGCCATTCCAATGCTCATACATGTATACATAAGCTATGTGGAAAACATTTTGTTCGATGAGTTCATGAATGTTGTTAGATTAATTATGTATGAATTCCAAATTGATTATATTTTTAATTATACAATTGTTGATTATTTTTTATTATTTTTAAAATAAAAAATGAAAATTGAGCAAAAAAATTTCATTTCTTTGACCTACATATGAAGATGACATAACATTA